ACTGCCGCTCGCCTCTTGCAGCGCGCGGGACCCTCGACTTCCACAGCGTCCTGGGCGTGCTGAGCCGCACCGGCGCCGCCGCCGCTGCCTCCGAGGGTGAGCAGGGGCTGGGAGTCCAAATCCAGGGAGTTTTGGTCCCATTGGAACTCTGCTAAACACGGTTTTCCGCTTGGAAACTGCTCCTTCCCAGGCTCTTGGGATCAGTTCATCCCAAAGACACTAAAGCAAAGTACCTCATTCTTTTCCCTTTCCTTCTCTTGAGTTTTTATTTTCTCTCCCCCTCCTGCTGCTTGCAGCTTTCCAGCCCATCTACGAGACCTTTGGCAGGCTGAAGGAGGGCTCCATCGCTGCTGCCGACCTGCAGCCCGCGCTGCTCCGCTTGGGTGTCCGCCTGGCGCCCGTGGTGCTGCCGAGCGCCCGCAGCGACGACAACGTCCCCGAGAGGGTGACAGTGCCAGGAACAGCCCCTGCACAGGAGGGTAAGAGGCGCCCGCCGCGCGTTCGCCCACATTCAGCCACACAGGAGGTGTCTGCAAGCCGGGAGGCAGCAGCTCCCGGGACACGGAGCCCCAGGACTACGCCTGGGGGCAGATCCTTGGTTTTCATCCCTCCTTTGGCCCCAGGAAACTGAGGCACAACTCAGAATCCCCCCCCCCCCTTTTTTTAAAAAAATATGGGAATATTTATCTTCTATTTCATCCCTATGAGCACAGAGTGTCTTTTCAGAAAATCCTTCCCTCAGCCTGGTGGGGGAAAACACCTAATTCCATTGCAAATATTGTTGTGGATAAATAAACACCCATCATGGGACCCGGTGACCTCCCGGGTGTTCTCCGTGGGCTCCGCAGCCACGCAGGATGCTGCGGAGCTCATCAGCAGGATGGAAGCAGGCAGTATTGAGGCCTCAAAGCTGCGCTACATCCTCCAAGCCATGGACATCCACCCGACGGAGCAGGAGTTTGAGGAGGCTCTGCAGAAGGTGGCTCTGGAAAGTGAGTTTTGCAACTGCCCTGCCCTCCCTGATGTCCCCTGGGAAGGGACATGTCCTTGTCTCCCTCGCTCAGCCCCTGTGCAGAGGGTGACAGTGTCTCACACTGGTTCTACTGGTGCAAACTGAAGGCAGCACCATGGGACGCAGGAGCTGCCTCCTTCCCTTAGGCCCATCAATGGGGAGACCCCCGTCTTGGGCCAACCAGGGATGCTCTGATATTACACTTTCCAACCGCTATTTGACTCACAAACATCTGTTTGCTTCTCTGCCCTTCTCCATGTCCTTCCCCCCGTGCCGGGGCTGGTTGGGATGGTGCAGAAGATGGGACAGTGAACCTAGCTGCTTTCATGACCGCCCTGAGCAGCACCCAACATCCGTCTGATCCCCTGGGTGAGTGGGGACACATGGGCAGTGGAATGGAGACATGGTTTAAACCCCTTCCATGTGCCATGGTGCGTCCCCATCCTGGTGCATGTGTCACCAGCACAGCAGCGGGTCGCACATGCTTGCAACTGGTGCTGAAGGGGACTGAGCCTGTGCTTTGACTCCAGATGGCAGCTCCTCCGCTTCGGCAGCACCAGAAGACACTGTCGGTGCCACCAGTGGTTTTGAGAATGACCACTTGGCTGTGAGGGACCTGCTGGCCTGTGCAAATCATCTGGGCATCCAAGAGGGGCTGGAGAAGGCTTCTGTGGATGGTGAGTGCATGTGTGGAGAGCCCAGCCCTGTAGGGATGCAGGGTCCCGCTTGTAGATCCTGCTGCGCTGGTGAACCCCAGCTGCCGTACCGAGGTGATGCAGAGCTGGAGCGGTCCCATGCGACATGTAGGGAAGGTACCTGCAATCCCGGAGGGAGCCCTGGAGAACTTATGGGAGGATCTGGGGATGCTCTGCCCATCCCCGTGTTCATCTGCCCTTTGGGGAGGATGTTGTGGCTCTGGTGACACAGACAGCCCGGGAGGAGGAGATGAGAGCAGCAAGGCTAACTCCATGTAGGGTCCGGCTGGCCCAAGCTCTCCTAGGGACTTGGTAAACGCCTCCTGGCATCACTCTTTGCATGGCTCTTGACTTGGGTATCTTCTCCGCACACTCTCAGCCCTGCAGGAAGTCTTAGAGGTCATCAGAAAAGTCAAGAACAACCAGATGGAGGTGTCTCAGCTAGGAGAAGTTCTGGCCAACATGGGCATCGTGCTCCCAGAGGAGGAGCTGCGGGAGGTGCTCAGCAAGGTCCCCATCACTGGTGAGTTGCACAGAGGGTCTCAGGGAATGACCCAGATGCATCATGTTGCTCTAGGGCCCGGGGGGCAGCATCGCCCCTTGTTGACTCGTCAGCCCTGTCTGACCCATGTCTTCTCCTGTAGGAGATGAGAAGTTGGATTTTAAAGAATTTATGAAAAGCTTGGCCAGCACCGGGAGACTCTCTGAAACCGCACGTGAGTGAGAGGCTTACGAGCACGGGCAGTGCCACTGATCTCTGTGATTCCTCGGAGCTGGAGTGTTGAGGCTGTGCCTACTGTAATGATCACAGCACATTTCTAGGGGAGTCCTGGCTGGTTTTGAGACACTATGGTGTCAAGTCTTTATGCTGGATCTGCTGTAGCCTTTTCTTACGGTGTCTTTTAATGGTAGCAAAATGTCTCCCGGTGCCAAGGGGGAGACTCCATGGATGGGGAGCTCAGTCCTCTGCAGCATTTCCTTCCGGATACCTATGTAGCTGCAAAGTACTGATTAAGGCCAGCACTGACCACCGCAGCTCCCCGAAGCTGCCGGCACACCAGGAATCAGCCGGCTGCACAGCCAGGGAAGCCACAAGCCCTCAGGCTTCCTCCCACGCAGCTACTCCAGGAGTGGGGAAGGCGGGAGGGAGGTAGTGGTAGGACCTCCGCTTTGTTCAGTTGTTTCCAAATTTGGTGAAAAGCCTCAAGTGCTCCTTAAACTGCTTTGAAGAGCATTAATCTTGAGGCAAGGAGGGGTAGCGGTGCTGCTCTGTGCCGCCCTCCTGTGCGGTATTCCCACTCTTGGTATGATGGAGAAAGCCTCAAACTTGCTCGCCGTTCCCCAGGGGAAGCCATTTGGGAGCAGGGGGGCTCCAGCAGCACCGAGCCTGCGGGGTCGGGGCGC